TCTCTCTCTCTCTCTCTCTCTCTCTCTCTCTCTCTCTCTCTCTTTCAGATCCAAGCGGGATCGATTGTCCGTCAAACACGTGAATCCGTATGATTCCGCGCGCGAGTTGAGAAACCCTTACAAGCAGAGAATTAAGGACGAATAATTAGGAATTAGACGGAGAGTCACATGTGTGAGAATTCTCTGGAGGAACACAAACGTGTTTCAAACGGGAAAGAAATTTATACAAGAAAAAGAGTTAATATCCATTTACCAAAACTAACATACTTAAATTAACTAAAAAACAATATACAATTCTGCTAAAAGAGTTTTAAAGGTCTAAATTTTAACAATGTTATTTGAATATCATAATAATTTCATAAAAAAAATACAACAGGATTATTTTGATAACAATAACATCTTTTTCTAACATTTAAAAACATTATATTCTTGATCCAATGTTTTGTGCTTTCTATTCATAAAAATTACTTTTGAGTAATAAGAATTATTACTCAAATTTAGAAATAATTTGTTGAATTATATATAAAATGTATTGATACAAGCAATGTATCTTCGTTTGACACTATATAGTCTCACATTTTTAGATTTACATATTAAAAACTAGGATATTTTCAAAACAGGAATACTCTTTTTTCTGTATATAGAAGAAGAAAAGAAGATGGAACAAGAAGAAGAAAAATGGAAAGAAGGAAAGAAGGGGGGGGAGAGAGAGAGAGAGAGAGAGAGAGAGAGAGAGAGAGAGACGATGGAGAAAAGGAGAGGAGAGACAGCGAGAGAGAACGAGAGCGAAAGAGAAAAAGATAGAGATGGGGGCCGCACGTCCACTTTCGGAACAGCGGCTGTTTGTAAACATTTTTCCCCGGTGAGGTGGTGAACGCGACGAGGATGACGACGGCGGCGGCGATGTCAGCTGGGTGGCAGAGGAAGAACGGGGAAAACAGGCGGAAGAAGGGAGGGGCAGGCAGGAAACGGGGAGAGGTTGTCTGTCTCCGTCTGTCCGTCCGTCCATCGCCACAAAGCGTTTGTTCGCTTCCTCGTATCGAACCGCAGCCGGAAATCGCACGACGACGGTGGCGAGAAGGACTGTAAATGTGCGCACTTACCTAGGATCCGGCAGGATGATCTTCTTGCTGGCGCGGGCGGCCGGCGTGCACTTGCTCTTCTCCATGGCCATCAGGTAGCTGACGTCGGCCAACACCGCCTCGAGGTCCGCCATTTTCCTCGGTGGGTCCTTTCAACGGTGGTCTCGATCTACGGGGAAGACGATTACCCCTTCGCCGCCGTCGTCGTCGTCGTCGTCGTCGTCGTCAGCGTCGTCCTCGTCGGCGAGCGGGCTCCTCCTTTCTTCTTCTCCCTCGATCTCCTCTTTCTCCTACTGTTCCTCCTCTTTCTCTTAATACGGTACCGGCTCCGGATGCGACCTAGCACGCAGCCGAGAGCCGCTTCGCTGCCACGGACACGGTGCTCCGCCGCCGTTCGCGGGTTGCCTCACTGCCGCATATTTTTAGCGTAACACGGCGACGGCGACGACGGCGGCGGCGAGGGCAGCATTCCGTGCAATCGAACGGCCGGCCGAGGGAACGCGCCTCCTCGGTCTCTGATTGATGACAGATCTCGCTGCGAAGGACGGACGGACGCACAGACGAATGAACGAATGAGCGAGCGTGAGCGAGCGAGCGACCGGAGCGCGCAACAACGACAGAGGTTAGTGTCGCCGCGAGACAGCGCGATGCTCCGGAGGACGATACTCGCACTTTCCTCGTCACTTTTGTCGTTTGGCTCTTCTATCTAACTGTTTATCTCTGTCTGTGTCTCCGTCTCTGTCCTTTTTGTCCCCCCTCGTATGTTTCTCTCTTTCTTACTCTCTCTCTCTCTCCCTCCCTCCCTCTCTCTTTCTCTCTCTCTCTCTCTCTCTCTCTTGCTTCCTCTCGCTCCTCACAGGACGTCGCACGACGTTGCTCCTTTTCTTTTCCTCGTTCTTCTTCTTCGTGTTTCACAGTGCCGTCTCTCGTACGCACGGAACTGCGCGTTGCAACGAAGCTAGTCTTCCTCGCACTTGGCTCGCGCGAGCTCTCATTTTATGTGAGATGCCGCGACGCCGTTGCTCCTCTCATCACGCCCGTGTGTATCGTGCGATCAACGTTGCGCGTCGGCGTCGAGCTCCAGGAAGCACAGACGATTGGCAAGCGATCGTATGGTCGTACGCGCGCGTTCACACTTTGCCTCGGGACGGGACGAGACGCACAAAAGTTTCGTGTTGCTTCGCGAGCGCAGGGTAACGACACTGCAGGATAACGACAACGCAGAATAACAACACAACAACTTCGCTCGGCCGCAAGCTCGCGACTGCCCGCTCGCGACGCTCGCACTCTGTTCCGTACTGGCTCGCGCCCCGATTGGCCGAGCGCCACCCGCGATTCATTTGCGAAACACTGTCGATAAAGTAGCGTTCTTCTTTTTTAAAAGCCGATCGTCGATAAAGTAGTACCTCTGGCTTATCCACACGGTGTTCCGAGTCTGCCGCTTGAAAGGTAAAATGTACAATTAGTGTATACGCTAGAATTGTTATAATTATATTATTATGATATTCTACGTCCACATATAGCAATTTAAACTATGTATAAGATATCATATATGTGAACAATCTATGGATATCGTTTAAAAAAAACTGACTCATTCGAAATTTAATTAGGAAAAGTTTATATCTTCATTTCATCTGTAAAATCTTCTAATGTAAATTTACAAATTTTGTCCCTTAATTAAATTAAAGTTAAACACAGAGAATTTTAACAGATAATTTGCTTAGAAAATAATGTTCATAAATTTACATTAGGATTATAAAGGGAGAGGAGGGGTTCAAATAAAAATATAATCTTTTCCTAATCAGCAGCCTCACTCATCCTCAAGACATTATAAGATTGACATCATAAAATTTGTGAGATACTTACCAATAACTGGAGAAAATGTTATCCAAACAAGTCAAACCCGATGTAAGCGATTATTTCGTATACGTTTACCGACATGTCGGTTCAGTTTGTGTCGTTGCGCAGATATAGGGTGCGATCCGTTAAGGTCGTTCTACATTAATTGTAAGCCGATCGCAAGCAGACGCAATTCTTATTGGGACAGCCAATCAGAAGCATCAATGGTGTTATTGATGCTTGGCTGTTGCAACAAGATTTGCAATCAACTTGCAACTAATGTAGAACGACTTTTACACGCTACGAGTACTTTGAAATGCGACAAATGCTGCCTGTGTGCATAACATTGTAAATTAGTCCAAACGTTTCAAAGGCTGCGTTCGAGGAGATACTATTTAGCGTTATGAGTGTGTTCTGTCCTTGTTTGTTTCTAAAAGTTGAACAAGGACAGAGGATGCTCATAGCGCTAAATAGCGTCTCCGCGAACACAGCCAAAGTCTCCGCTGCAAGTCACCACCATCTTCACCAAAGAACTGGGATTGTAGTATGATAGTCGGATAGGCTTAGCACCTAGACCCGTACACTTTTTTGTACACCTTTATTCTTAAAAAAAAAAGAAGGGATCGTAGTACAGTTCAACGACAAATCAAACGTCTTTTCTATTTCTCAAATAATTACTCAACAACAAGTCGGATTCATTTTCTAATATCTATAACATAAACAAAACTCAACGGACTGAAACTTTGTCAGAAATAAAGCATTGTAAAACTTTATTTTCCTACTAAGATTCACACTTTCGGATAGTTTCAGATAGATAAATATCATTTATCTATAATTTTCCGTTTACAGCTTGACAAATTTCATATAAGAAATTTTAGTACTTAACACATCTCGACTTATATTTATGTAACATCATAAACGTTATTTCAACTTTACATTGACAAGTACAAATTAAAATTACAGAGACTTCAACACACTTCTTGAATCGCTTCATTAATATTATTTTTCCAGAAATTATAGACCGCTGAATTTTTTTCTTTTTTAAACATAACATTGAAATTGAAATATAATATATAACCTTTACAGAAAAAAATTATAGAAATACGAAAAAATTATTGGCATACTATTGAACTATAATTTTTCAATAACATCAATAATTTTTTCGTATTCTTGTAGTTTTTTTCCATAAGGGAACTGTTGCCAATAAATTACTAATTACATAAATATACTTCTAATAAACTTTTAAAATAAATATACAGTGTACTAAAGCTGCAATTGTACAAAATGCCTTATACATAAATTTAATATCTGACATACTACAATTTTCTGATATTAAACAGATCATTTTTACGACTGATAAAAACAAAAACACATTACATTTGAACACGCGGAAATATTTTAATACCTCGGGTAAACACATTTTTTTATAATATTTCCTGCTGTTATGATTCCCAGATTGGAGATCAAATGTAATCTCGTCTCGTCTCGTCATTGAACAATGTATGACACATAGAAACTCTTATGTTGAATTTCTTGAAGAGTCATTCAATAATTATGTCATGCAGAAATTTAAGCATTTTTCATCCTCTCTCTCTTTTCCATCATTACATATTGTCATAAAGTTTAGGCCCCCTTCCAATATTACATGGTATGTAGAATTACGTACCTCTTCCCTCTTATATAAAATAAGAAAAAAACTCATAATTATAGTGTGAATAATAATTATTAGACTGTGTACTATTATCTTTTTTAAAATATGGATAATTGTTTTTTAGACATAATATCGAATAATTTATTTTATAATTTTAACTAGTAAAAATTGTGTTTTTAAAAAAGAAATATTTCAAAAGCCAAATTTGTATTAACATAAAATTAAATTATTTTTATAAAATATATTTTTAGATATAAAAATTTAAATACTGAATACGTATGACATTTCGTGGCCTTTACTCCCTTTCTTTGCCTGCCATCAGTCATCATGCAAGCTAATAGACACATATGTGTATATACCACTCTCTTGTAGTGTGATATAATTATTGAATCACCCTTCGGAACAATCATGATTGTTGTCTTCTTAATCTTTTGAAACATTGTTTCATTACATAGCAATCGCTCTGCTAAATAGTCGAAAAATCATACAAAAATTTGCCTTTTTCCTACCACCTTACAGAATTCGTGACTACTTATTATCTTGAAGCATTTTTTTAGTTAAAAATCTTAATCCTTTCCCTACTGTTAACAAATCTAGAACAATATTCAACTCTTTGGCAATTTCCTATCTACTATACTTTTTCTTTTTAATTTGTATGTATTATATTATATGACAATTCCATATATATA